TTTAGCAAACTTAATCACCATCAGATTTTCTTCTGCAGCTGTGCATGTGCTACTTTTGTGAAAGCTGCACACTGATGTTTAGAGAAACGACTGAGCAGTCTGTTACAGAAAAAAAAAAAAAAAAAAAATTTAATTACATGAGAAATAACTTTACAGTGAACACCATGGGAAGCTCTTTTCAGAGCTTGCAGCTTAATGTTAAGAACAGGCTTCTTTTTCATTACACTCTCTTCATATCTTGCACATTAATATAGTGGGAAACTGCAAATTTGAATGGTATCTCTGGGAAATAAAAAAATTAATCCTATTTCTGCCTTTCTGCAAAAGGCAGAAGCCAAACATCTATCTGTATAGAAGGAATCCACTTCACAGGCTTCAGAAACACAAAGGTGGAGTGTGTCTTCCCACAGCTCATGACTCTAGGAGTTCACTAATACTTAGATCCATTTCTAATCTTGCCTTTAAAATATTTATGCAGAAATGGTTGAGAGGACCAAACTCTTATCTTTTACCTATTATTATTAGAATTGCATGTATTGAACATCCATCTCGAGGGATTCTCAGAGAATTGTACAGATATAAACTTACTAATCTTCCTCCCATTCCATTAAGTACTTGAAAACCTGCATCCTATGTTGTTTTTTTTTTAATAAAGTAAGCAAGACATACGACACACTTCTATTCCTACTGATTCACTGTCAATCCAGAAGAGAATAAGTCTTAAGTTACTTGCTGAATGTTATACTGAGCAATTGCACTGGAGCTTTAAACAAATAGTCCCATTCCCAACTCTGTATTTTGGTCACAGAGACATCTCTTCCTTTTTTTTTTTTTTTTTTTACAGAAATAAAATTATTCCATGTACCATATAAAATTATCAACCCATGTATACAAACCACCACCAATCTGTCTCCTAATTTAGGATTAAATTTTTCTTAGGGAACCACAAACCCAATTGTATTCATTTAAGATATAATAATGTATTTTTAGTACAGGAAAATGTTTAGTGGTTTGGCTTGGGGGGGGGGTTAGGCAAATTATGCATTTACAGAAAAATAATTCAGAGCATGCAAGGTGAGATACTGGATCTGTTTAAAAATTCATCCAACTCTACAATTATTTGAATGAATACACAGTAGACTAATAAGTACAACTTATGGATTGTAACATATTGCTCTTGACAGTAAGGCAACACATATGTTAAGGAAGATCTAATGACTGGCACTTTAACGTGAGAAGAAACATCGCAATATTAAAAATGAGCCAAGAGGTGGTGATTACATTATACTCCTCCTTGTGCTCAAGGGTTTTAACCACCAATATTTCAAGGATGTGTATTCCAGAAGGAAGAGAGAGGAAAATTTAATTTTCTAGTTTTATGCGTATATGAAATAATGCTGCTAAACTGATTTAAATACGAACTAAAACTGTGCTGCCTCTGTGCAAAATGCAGCTCACTTAAACCCACTTACACTGGCACAACGTATCTGCTTTGACTGTGCTGCTACAAAATGTCTTTGTTTAAGTAAGTCCTCAATATCTTTGATTTTTACAAAGTTAAGGAAGGCTAATTATTTAGTGGTTGTTGATTCCAGGAAGAACATACAAATGCCTCTCCCAAAAGACTTCACTAGCGTTATGTCACTGAAATCAGATCTTTAACACTTAACAAGTCTTGCCTTGGGAGAACGAAAGACAAACAAATCCAGACTCACCACTGAGCTTATTCCAGACAGAAATGGGTCATGAATTAATCATACGAGCAAACTCTTGTACCTCAACTGGAACGGAATACTGTTTTTTCTTAAAAGGATGCCACAATCCCTATGGGACATCCAAGCTATTAACATCTCTACTCACAAATAATGTTCAGATTTCTAAGGGGATATGGAAAATGCCAAAGCAACTCCCCTCAAGAGATGCAAGGCCAGAAATGAAAATACTTGCAAAACAATAAACCCACAGGGAACCCAACCTTTTTCCAAGCTGTCAAGCAAAGAAACAAAACCAATATAGCTTTGTGAAAGCAAATGGCCTTGTGCTAAGAGAATAGCAACCCAACAGCTGTTCTTTTGCCTAAAGAACTCAGTGCTATCTGGATGCCAATTAAGACATGGGGAGGATGGGTAATTGACTGGAGATCCCAAAACATGAATCCGTCTCTTTAAACTTATCATACTGTATACAAAATAGGTTTCTAGTAGTGCAGTACAATACACAAGATTTCCTTCACGGTTAAGATAGCACTACGCAAGAGCACTGTCATCAAGCAGAAGTATAATGCCAGAGGCATAGAGTAAAAACAAACGTTTTGGCCATTATCTCGTCATTTCTTTCAGAGAAGCCCAATAACTATTCCTGTTCTTCACCTCATTCACCCTTCCTCTCTGTCTCCTGTAGATCCATAGCTGTTCACAACTGGGATCTCAGGGGCACAGAGACATTAAGCCTCTTGTCCAGCCTGGTATAAGGAGGTCACTGGCAGGACCAGGGCAGATCTTGCAGAAGCTAATGACATATCGATTACCTTTTTTTCAGATGCCTTGTCCTGGAGCAAAGTACCTCTAGCATTTATGTTCTCAAGCCAGTGATCTGTTAGGTGTCCTCTGGAGAGCTACCTTGAGATACCATTTACACTGAGCATATATATTAGAGAGGCCATAGACCAAAAGCTAAGTGTGAGAACAGAGCTTATAAAAATCCAGTAACTAAGCAGACTGCTTTACCCTTGGTTCCTCTGTGTTATGCCAATCTAAAACAATCTAACCATTAATATCCCAGTAGTTAATTTTTAACCCTGCCTTGAGGTCTTTGACTGAGTAGGCTCTGCAGAACAATTCCATCCAGTTCACTGCCTTGGTCTTAGATTAACTGACCGTGCGGGAGGAAGATGTGTGTGTCTGTACACGACCAGGTGCTCAGGACTCTGAGAAACCACTCCACCTCTCTGTGGTCTACAGGGGCCTGGAAAGGAGGGTGGGTTCATAAAACTGGTTTCCACTAAAAAGACCAGACCATCCTGGATTAGGGGAACTGGACAGAGGAGATTTGGTCTTTGTCCTGTGAATCCATCAGTAAGGGGAATGCTGGGCACCTGGACAAAACAGAATGGGTCATTTGCTTATGGTTCCATTGACCGGGGGAATGTAGACACTGGGGTGGAAGGGTCTGGGCTATTTTGTTATGGCTTCATTGGTCAGGGGAATGTAGGCACCTGCATTGCACAGCCTGGGCAATCTGCCCATAGCTCTATCAAACGAGGAAATACGGGCACCTCGGATCTCCCCAAACAGGGCTGTTTGCAGCTTTGTCAGTAGCTGACAGTATAAGAGAAGGGAATTAAAAGAAAAAACAACAGAACAAACAGAAAATGCTGCAGACAGGTGGGAAATGTACCACTGCCTTTGCTGTGGTACTGCCAGGTGTAGCTCTGTGCAAAGCCTGGCAGCTGATTCTGTTAGTTTAAGGGGGTTTATCTCCCCATGTGCCATCAACATGCAACAGAATTATCTTCCAGGCATGCACCACAAGCTCTTTTCTGGCTTCTGCAAGCAAAAAGGAGCAAAAGTATTTTACATGCTGCAAGTATTTAAATTGGTTGGTTCACTAGAAAGGAAGAAAAAGAAAAACACAGAGAGAGAGGGAAAGAGGGAATCCCTATGGAAACAAAGCTTTCACTCTGCTAATGGAGTTAGTCAGACAGACACTGTCACCACTTATAAAGCAGGGCCAAAGAACCCTGAGGGCAAGTCCCTCTGCTATGATGGAAAAACTCAACCAGAGGAGAAAATAGCTCTCGGATTGTAGTTAGCATACCCATAGAGGACATCTAAGCCTGGGAACGAAAGCAATCAGCTCTCTAGTTCACTGGCATGGACTGTGGTCCTGCCCTCCATTGTCAACGTCTCCCCCAAAGCAAGAGAAACAAACTCACCCTGAGAGATACAGAAGGGTAGAGCAGTGCATGAGCTAAAATACAACATGTCCCTTTAGTCACTGTTAAACACCAGATTAGAACGGTGATACTCAAAACCAACCTGTTGCTGCTCTGGAGAACTATCAAAAGAGCATAAAAGCTTTGACAAAAGAGTAACAACCTGCAGACAGCCAGTAGCCACAAAGAGCCTTTGGTCCTCCAGGCTCACTGGAGTGTAGCTACTTCTCTCCTAGTGAATAAACCGGGTGGCTTTGGTTGAAGACAGGGTTCTCTCAGTTCTTACTCACCCTAAGCCAAGCTGTGTTTTCTGGAGCATAGCTCAAGTGACCAAGCCAAAAGTCTGATCACAGTTTCTTATTTCACTTATTTCACTTTTATTTATTTCACTTTTACACTTATTTCACATATCCCCTTAGTGCCTTAGTTTACCTGACTCTAGAACTCACGCTAAGGCCACGTTCCTAAAATGCTTTGAGAAGTTTGGATGGCATTAATCATAGAATCACAGAATGGTTTGGGTTGGAAGGGACCTTACAGATCATCCAGTTCCAACCCCCTGCCATGGGCAGGGCCACCTTCCACTAGCCCAGGTTGCCCAAAGCCCCGTCCAACCTGGCCTTGAACCCTGCCAGGGAGGGGGATACTGGATTTATGCTAATAAACCTTGGATGTCTCTGAGTGACGCAGTTGTCACTTGGCTCAGAAACACAAGGAAGTAACCAGCACTTGAGAAGTTACCACATACCGGCTGAACTGCAAGAAGTGAAGGGGAGAGATGTTTAAACTAAGGCATTTCCTATCTCACATCTGAGATGGGATGAAAGCAGGAACAGAGTCACTTGCTGTGGCTTGGCCAGCTGGTGGTAACTCAGCTGTGGTGTTCTGGGATCAGTCACAGCCACACAACTGCTTGTGTGGAGTCTTCTAAATATTACTTTTGCTTTATTTGCTTTTTTACTTTTAAAATTTTTTCTATTACTTTTTCCTGAGCATCACCTTGGGATGTTTGCTATGTAGGCAGAATCCTCTATCTATTCTTGGATATGTGTCTTCTGCCTTTCAGGTGATTTATCGTGCCTTAAGTCCGGCTAACAAGATCGAAGACCCCTACAGTCCTGAGGCTCAAGATCTCCTGAAACTCACCAACCTCCGCCTCCTTTTGTTAAAAAGACAGGAATGTCCATGCTATGGTTCAGGATTGGTAGAGAAACCCCAGAGATTTGCCCACTATGCTATTTATGACCTGATCATCCGGGGAAGCTGCTTTTGCAATGGGCACGCAGAGGAATGTGAGTTTGCCAACAGGACAGGAGTCACGGAGAACGTGGTGAGTTCTAGACATTCACTAACTTCTTAGACTTGTTATCTGCTTGTGCCTTCTCAGCCTAACTGTATATTTTGTGTATGTTCCTGTCCAAGACTCCCGAAGCCTATTTGAAAAAGGGCAGCGCTGTCAATCCATGTTAGTGAAACCTAAACCCCTCCGGGAAAAGATTTCCTACAACTCTTGCTGCAGTTCCATGTGTATTAACTGCACTGCTAGAGATAGGTCCTTCTAAAAACTCTGCACCTCAAAATACCTAGAAGTTGTGAGGAAGCCTTGTAACTGGAACAGAGATCCAGCCCCAAACATACTGAATGAAATCTGCCTATTTGCCTGCACAGAACTGAACTCATCTCTTTGATGCAAAGACTGTCCTGACCAGAATTTCAGTATCAGGTCTCGAATTCCAGGTTTTCTGAGTTTGTGAGACATAAGCCATTCTGACATACTTAGGGCTTGAGCCTTTATTTTGAGGTTTTCAGCCTTCTGTGGTTTTGTTACTTTCACTACATAGACAGCAGTATTCAGAATATAAGAATAATTTCTACTCGCCCCCTCTTTTATCCATTCAGCTTAAAATAAGTTAGAATATCTTTTCCTTAAAAGCCCAACCTTGTAGGAAAATTACTGTATAGGACTATGACTAGTTCCTCCCTATTCATTCTTCTAGCTGTGTTTGACCCTGGATGTGCAGAAGATGTGAGTTGTGTTTGTGTGCATACTCAGAAGTTGTGATTCAGGGGGAATGACCGCTGTCTCCTTTTGGATTTAGCTGCAAGTATTATATTGAAGAACTGTAATAACAGTCAGAGGGAAATGATGTTAACCAAATACATCTAAACACATACATCTAATAAACACAGGCAGAATTCAAGGCGCTTTAAACTAGCCAGTGGCTCCACTGGTTCCAGAAGGCTGTCTGTCTCTGTAATGGGTTTTGAAAGCCAAAATAACCCTTAGAACTTTAGTCTCTGGTGACATAATAGACTCAAAAAATACATCCTCAGCTAATTTCTGTCCCTTTAGACATACGGTACACTTGAAATTTTGGTTTATTTTCTTCTGGAATGTGTATTCATTGTCTTCCTTTCAACTTTTCTAGGTTCAGAGGTATACACTGTAAGACAATTAGCTGTATGAGTTTCACAATATTTGCAAAATCATTTCTGAATCAGTTCCATCTGTGGTATAAATCTAAGATTCCGCTACAGTATTCTAGCACTAGGTAATATTATCAGTTTCTGTTAACTATAAATATAGACTCACTTTATACATAACTGTGTGGAGAAAAGGGGTTTATAGAGTGCGTCCTCCCTATTGCAAACTGTTAAATACACACATAGTGAAACCAAATAGATGAATAACTTATTAAATGAATACAGCTGGTAGAAGAATAAACACTCTGCCCATCCGAAAAGGAAAACACAATATTGTCTATATCACTGGCATGACCATTGTAAACTATGACTGGATTTTTTCCCCCCCCACTAGTCACAAGGGAATAGAATCTTTTTGTGCCATCAGTGACTTCATGGGGCAGAAGGTGAAATAGTTTTGATGAAATGCACTTCACGAGTGACTCATGTTCCAGAAGACACGAGGGTGGATGCATCACATCATTCACACAGGCACAGATATCAGCCAGTCTTTACCTAAGCAGGGATTCAAATGCAGCAGGGAGAAAAGTGAGAAAAGCCTTCCAAAGCTTGAACTGCCCCTTGAATCCTAGGTGAGCACTGGAAAAGAGCATAAGGGAGCTTGTCTGAATCCTCACATAAAGGTATGATCAAGCGTACCTAAGCCATTCACTAGTGAATGTTTGTTGAACTAGTTTTTGAAAATCTCTGGTGAAGGATATTCACAGAATCACAGAATCATCAAGGTTGGAAAAAGCCTTGAAGATCATCTAGTCCAACCAAATAGCAATAGCAACCGCCAGTGCCTGCCTAAATAACCTCTGCTGGAAATTAAGGCGATTCCTTCTTGTCCCCTCTCCCCCAGCGATCATGGAGATCCTCGTTCTGCAGGTATGATTGGAAGGTTCTCACTGTATCCTTCATTATTTTTTTTGTTTTTTGTTTTTTGTACTAACCAGAGAAGTGTGAAACCTTAGGTGGCCAAAATTTAAAATTCTACTCCCAGATCATACAAGTCTGGAGCAAAGATGACCACCCTATTTTGCTTCTCTTTTCTGTGCTTTAGTCATTAGACCCTAGCTCCTTCTCAAATACACACTGAAAATCCATGGGAAGAGCCAGGTTCTTGCATCCTTTTACATTTTATCTAATACTTACTAATGATGATGTTGTAGTGGTGGAGGGAGCATTCACATAGGTACAGATCTCAGGATCTGGATTACATAGCTAGCATGAGGGAGTTTATGTAAGTGTATAACTTTGCATCTTACAATATGGTCATCTCTGTGCCTACATGCAGAAGGAAAAGGCCTTTGTTGTTGAGTGGTGAACAACATGATACATTTCGTACCAGACAAACTACACTGCAACAAAAATCTTGCAGTCTCCTGGCAGAGACAGGAAAAATGCTCTACGTTCAGTCACATGTTGACTAGAACAGGACAGGGAAAAGAGATGTTAGAAACAAACACTGCATGTCCAGAAAGGATCTGATTCGTTCCACTGGCCGCATCTAATATTTGCTGAACACACGGGCAGAGCAAGTCTCAAGACACAGATTTTAATGTGGCTAGTGTGGGTGATATCACAGCATGAAGGCAGAGCAGCTTCATGTTTCCTGGGCTTCTGTCAAGTAATTAAATGAAACGCTGGAAAAATACAGACCTCCACAGAAAGTCTTAAGTAAGAGGAGTTTTAGTCTCTTAAGAGTTTAGAGCCCTACACTGTATTTTCTGTAGTTAACGAAAACAAAAGCAAGTCCATGTAGAAAACAATTGTAAACGTTTGCCATGGGATAGGCCCAAAAACTGAGATCATTCTGCATTTATGTCTTGGAACAGACATAATTGTGCTAACTTGTAACTCTGCTCTTCTTACTCTTGAAAGAAATCTGTTCGGTTTGTTCTAACACAGCTAACATGGAGGATAAATAACGGAGAGAAGCAAACTTCTTGACACTTTTGAACCAACACTTTTGAACACCATTTTGGAGGGGCTAGATGATCTATGACAACTAGATGATCTGTCAATGATCAATTTATCTGTAGATCCCTCAGTTCAGTCGTGACAACTCGTCCAGCTTCTGGCTTCTCCACTGAGGCTGCCGATCAGAAACACAGCTCTGTGAGAAGTAATGTCACAGATGCCACAATGTCATAGAAACAAACGGATACCAGAGAGCTGCAAATTGTAAAATTGACCTCCAGTTGGTACGTTATTCCCCATAGCTTGACATCCTCGATAGTTTCATACATATTCTCTCTGGTTATAAGTCCTTTGTGAAAATACTAAGTACAGCAAGGTGCAAAGCAGACTTCCATAGGATCTGGTGGAAATGTCTTTTGACTTCTAATTTTGGTAGCAAACCAGTAATAATTACTCTTTCAATGTGGCCTTGTTTTTGAACAAGCCATGCACCCACCTCAACACATTTTGACCATATTTCTCTTATTAACTACTGAGAATATCATGTCAGACAGGAGAAAAACCTTGAGAAGTGAAGACAGGAGCTATAAACAATAGGCAAGAAACTTCAGGACAAACATATCTTGAATTTGGGGGTTGTTGCTATCAACAATCATTTTTTCTTGCCTTCTATTTCCTTTCTTCAGGCCAAAAGGAAAAAAAAAAGACAGATGTCATACCCAACTTAAATAGCTTCCTATGATAGCTAAGGACAAAATTCTCCTTTCTGAATTTCACAGCCTGTATTAATCAACACTTACAAATAGACCCTTTGTTAGTGAGGGAAATTATTGAGATTGCATTTTGCTGCAGAAACTACAGAGAAGCTTTTTTTTTTTTTTTTTTTTTAAATAACAGAAAGAACTGCCAGGACCTTGCCACCTGAATACATCTAGTCTTCTTCTACCACTGGATAAAATGGAACGTAGCCCCGTCCCAGGTATCACTGTTGCAGGACGTACAAAGTAATGTGTTGCTCTTCAGTAAATTATTTATTTATTCAGCTCCAACAACGTTAATAAGAGCTGTCAGGTTTAGGATCTGCTTTGATGACACATTTCAGCTGAGTCCAGGGGTGCTTCCAGAACAGTTTACAAAGCAGAAAGCGCACATGGACAGAACACAGAATTTAGACCGAAGTCCTTTGTTTTTGCCAAACATTTCACAATTCTCTTTCTAGTCCATGAGAAGTACGTATGGACAGATGAAAGCAAATGTGGATTTAAATGGTTTTGTTTAAAGCATTAGGGGATTTCTACTTGTTAATTATTGGTACCTACACTGCCAGGAAATTCTTACAAGTGGCCTCGGATGTTTCTTTTGCTTCTTTATCCTGTTTACAGAGACAAACTAGACTCCCTGTGGGTCTGATCCTCCACAATGAATCAAATGGAAAGTTTTCCAGTTACTTCAAAGGGAGCAGGATCTGGTCCTAAGTAAGATTCTTTGTTTGGCATAATGGAGGTTACATAAGGTAAAACTTGTTTTTCTACAGCAATTTTCTAGGTGACTTGGCTGTCGTATCCCTTGCAAATATTACCTCCTCTTCAAATATCTTGTGTAGTTCTACTGATAATCCCCAGCTAAGTTTTCACATTATCTGATCCAAGCCGTGCCAGTCTGTATTGATGTCCAGCACGCAGAGGTACAGGAGGTGCTCTCTGTTGTAGTTGGCAACTCAAAGAGTGGGTTTTGTTTAAGAAAAATTTATTCTGTGTCCATCAGCTACGTGAGCAGCATCAAGAATGTTAAGAAAAAAAATTACAAGATCTTCTCGATCACATCAGAATAAATTGTAGAAAGAGATCCTTGTGCTGATTTTTTCCCAAAAGTTAAAACTGAATATGGATTGAGCTCTGCTCACAATGGTCTAAAAACACAGAAGAAGATCATATAAACTAT